ACATGCAAAATGGGTAGAATTCATAGAGACCTTCCAATATGTGATCCAATATAAGCAAGGAGAAGAAAATGTGGTAGCTGATGTGCTTTCAAGAAGGTACAGTCTTATCTCTACTCTTTTTACAAAATTGTTGGGATTTGAGCATTTCAAAGAATTGTGCATGATAGTGATTTTTTAAATGTTTATGTGGCTTGTGAACATGCGGTATTTCAAGACTTTTATAAGCATGATGGTTTTCTATTTAAAAAGGAAAAATTATGTGTGCCTAATAGTTCTATTAGGGAGTTGCTTGTTCGTGAAGCATATAGTAATGGTTTAATAGGACATTTTGGGATTGGCAAAACTTTGAGCATTTTACATGAACATTTCTTTTGGCCTAATATGCACAAATATGTTGAGAAAATTTGTGCAGAGTGCATCTCATGTAGGCAAGCTAAGTCTAGAGTTCAACCACATGGATTATATATGCCATTACCCATTCCTACACATCCTTGAGTTGATATTTCTATGGACTTTTTGTTGGGTTTGCCTAGGACTAGAAAAGGCAGAGACTCAATATTTGTTTTTGTTGATCGTTTTTCCAAAATGACACTTTATACCATGTCACAAAACAGATGATGCCACACACATAGCGGATTTGTTTTTCCGCGAAGTTGTTAGAATACATGGCATTCATAAAACCATTGTGTCCGATAGGGATGTTAAGTTTTTAAGCCACTTTTGGCGAGTTTTGTGGTCCAGACTTGGGACCAAACTTTTATTTTCTACTACTTCACATCCACAAACGGATGGTCAAATTGAAGTAGTAAATAGAACACTTGGTACATTATTACGTGCTTTAATTGGAAGGAATGTTAAAACTTGGGAAGATATGCTACCATTTGTTGAATTTGCTTATAATCAGAGTATACATTCTTCTTTTGGGTTTTCTCCTTTTGAAATTGTGTATGGTTTTAATCCCTTAACTCCACTTGATTTGTTGCCTATTCCTATAAGCGACATTTCTAATTTGGATGGACATAAGAAAGAAAAAATGGTTAAAGCAATTCATGAAAGAGCAAGGCATTGAAAAGAAAAATGAACAAGTAGCATTCCATGTCTATAAAGGAAAGCGCAGGATTTCATTTGAATATGGAGATTGGGTGTGGGTTCATATGCGCAAGGAACGATTTCCAAAATGGAAATCTAAGTTGGATGCTCGTGGGGATAGTCCATTTTAAATCATAGCCAAAATCAATGAAAATGCCTACAAAGTGGACCTACCATGTCAGTATAATGTTTCGGCTACACTTAACATATCTGATTTATCCCCTTTTGAAATTGATGCAGGAATTTATTCGAAGACGAATCCTTTTGAGGGGAGGGGGAATGATGCAAACAAGGCTAAAAACACTCAAGATACTCAAAGAGCATCAGAAGGTGACTTGGAGCAAATTTCAAATGATGTAAACACAAATACAGTTCCAAACCTGGAAAGTTTCAGCGGACCAGTAACAAGATCAAAGGCAAAGAAGCTTAAATAGTTGCTTCAAGTTTTTACTCAAAAACATGTGGATTATGGGGTGGTCAATTGTGGAAAGTTCAAATATGAGCTTTTTGAACAGCCCAAATTCGTAACTTTAATTGGATTTAAGTGATTTGGGATAATTTGGACTTGTTTGAGTCTTATTGATAATGGATGAATAAGCCTTGTGAATGGGCTGGATTAGTTGAGTTGTTTTAAGTATTTTGGATTGTTTTATTTTAGTTTGAGTTAATTAAGCCCATATAGTTAAGTATAACTCATTTTGGGCTTAAGTCTTGTTTTAGTGTTATTACAAGAATGAGCCCATAACTATATGGTGCCACAAACAATTAGTGGTGTTGGTTAAAGAGATTGGAGTTACGAGGAGTTATATAACAATTACATGCCTATAATTAGCCTAGTTATTGTTGGAGTTACAATTATAAATACCACATAATTAACCTAGTTATTGTGGGAGTTACAATTGTAGTTATTGTATTGTAACTTATCATTGATTTCTTTGGCTATAAATACCGAAGGAACTCTTCTTTGTGGACACCAACAGTTGTAATCAAACATTTCAAAATTGAGTTGAGAGTGTTTTGGCTTTCTTTTCACTTTATGCACAAGGTGTTGATTTGGAAAACAATTGTTATCACTTGTATTTCAATTTTGATTTTTTATTTCAATTATTCTTGGTGCTTGTTTGGATTAGGTTCAAGAGATATCATTTATCTTTCTTGGGTTCTCTTTAACTTCTACCATTTGGGTGATTGAACAAATTTGATTCTTTTTTTTACTTGTGATCTAAATTCCGTTCTAAACCGATTGAAGAGTTCTAAGGTTCAAGTAAAGGTCTTGGGGTTCTGCATCATTTGGTATCAGAGCATTGGTTCACCAAGTAAATTAGTCTATCCTTATTTTGTTGTCTTTATTTTCATTATTTCTTACAAAAAATAGAGACAAAATTTGCATTCAGCAAAAAAGAAAATCAAATTAGACTAATTTGCTGAATTGTGCAAAACACATTTCCACATATTCTACCTTGTGTAATTGACACAGTTGCTGTTATTTCCCTTTTATTTATCTCATATAACATTTAAATACATTTAAAATTTAAAAGAGAAACTCGTTTCAAAACTGTTTGTTTGGTTTAGATTGTTTGTGTAATTTTTGGGGCTGTTTGGAAACAACTCATCTCAATTGAGTTTGTTTTCATCCAAAACTGTTTGTTTCACTTAATTTGAGTATTTTGGGTGATAATTTGTGGTTCCATTAGAGAATTACAAGTTTTGTGCATTAAATTCCATATTCACCATTTTTTTTTCTTGCATCTTTAGTTTTCATTTAATATTTCTGCCCATTTGCTTCTTATTACATCTCGAGGTAATAATATTGATTTGTTGTTGCCCAATTAACATAAAAATCATTATACACTTATTTCTATATCAAGTGTGTGCTTTTCATTGTTTAGATTGTTCTAGTTTGCTTTTAGAGTTGAATTTGTGTATCTTGTTTCTTTAGAAATTCTTTGTTATCTCTAATTAAAATTGAGTACATAGTGATAATTAATTGTTGTTTTAATTGGTCATTTTGTATAAAGTTATAAAAGATTGCTTGAGTGTTAAAAAACAAGAGAGTGTGAGCTCAAAAGAGAGTAAAAGCTAAAATTGAGTGAAACACGAGTGCCCATACTACGAGAGTAAACACGTGAGGGAGTGATTTGTGAGGTTGCAATCTATTTTTGTTGTCATTAAAATTTCAGATTTGAAGATGGAGCCACAAGGGAATGAAAGAACATCAAAAGATCAAGAATTCATCCTCAAAGCAATGCAACAACAATTTGAGAGGATTCAACTAGCTATTGGCAACATGAATGAGAAACTAGAGGAACAACAACGTGAGTTAAATTCCATGAGAGGGGAAGCTTCCCAAACCAATCCAGGGGCAAGAAGACTTCCAACACCACTTTTTGATGAGAATGATGTGGAGGATGAAATGCCTCCTTTGGAGTATTGTAGTGATGTGGAAACGCCTATGGAAGGTAGATTGTTGGTTTCTAGACGTGTAGTTGCAGCAGGATTCTCTCTTTTGAATCCTAAGAGCGCGCCTTTTTTAAATCAGCAACTACATGTGACTTAAGCCTTGGTCAAGGCTTGGTTGAGTGTAATCCTGACTCCCTCTTGCTGCCTTGGCTACTAGTCAAGCCCAAGGATTGGTTGTGCTTATCCTTTTAACTGAGGTGTACCTTTTATCTACTAAAATGACTCTAGCTCGAACACAGCTTCTTGTAGATTTTGGTCAGCAACATGGTCTTCTTCCAAGATCCCTAAGTTGTCAACATTTAAAACGTTACAAAGTGCATTGTTTACCTCATCATCATGGCCTAGATCGAAGTATTTTTGGTTCAAAGCATCTATGATGTCAATGTTGTACGCACAAGACAAGTTAGAAGGGTATTTCATTGCATCATATACATTAAACTTTACCACATCGCCGTCAAACTCCATGGTGAGAGTGTTGTCCTGAACGTCTATTTTTGTTTCAGCAATGTTAAGGAATGGTCTCCCCAGCAAGAGATGAAAGGATTTTGAGGATTTATCATCCTCCAGATCCCGTACATAGAAGTTAGATGTTAAAATGAGGTTATCCACTTGAACCAACACATCATTCAAGACTCCTTTGGGGTAGACAACGGATCTATCCGCCAACTGAATGATGACTCCAGTCTCCTTTAGTTGTTCGACACTCAACTTGGAATAAATGGACATGGGCATCATGTTTATGGAGGCCACAAGGTCGCACATGGCTTTTCTTAGTCCCAAGGTACCTATTTTAGATGAAATGATGAATATACCTTGGTCCTGCATTTGGGAGGCAGTTTTCTTTGTATGATGTCTGAAACATTCTCCCCCACACTTACTCTTTCATTGCTACTCAGTTTTTTATTGTTGGTGCATAGTTCTTGAAGAATTTGGCATATCTAGGTATTTGTTTGATGGCCTCAAGTGGGGGAAGGTTCACCTCAAACTTACGGAATGTTTCTAAAATCTCCTTCTCCTCATTTTCTTTTTTCATCTTGGCAAATCTTTCTAGGAAAGACGGTTTAATTACCCATGGGTTGGATTGGTCAGAATTTGTCTTTGTTGGATGGGTATTGTCATCAGTTATCGTCTCTAGAGTTTTATCCAAGGCTTCTAATTATGCTTCCTTCTGTAAGCCTCAACCAAGGCTTGTTCAGCGGTGTACTTCTTGCAATTATTTCTCACTATGTAATGTGATTGCACTGATATTTGACTATGCATTCACTTCTTTCTGTGAGGGTAATTTACCCTGGGACTTCAACTTGTTCATGGATGTTACTAGTTGATTGACTTGGGTTTCCAAATTCTGAATGTTAGTTTTAGTTTTCTGTTGGAATTGCTGAGTTTTTTGCTGGAATTGATGCATGTTAGTAGCCAAAGATTTAACTATGTCTTTAAGAGATGTAACTAACTTAAAGGGTGTTGCTTGTGGCGGCGGCGGCTTAGTTGGGTATTATTGATAGTTTTTTTGTTGTCATGGTCCAAAGCTGAAATTAGGGTG